ATGTCAATAGGGGGAAAGCCCAGCAATGAAAGTGTTATCTCCCAGGAGGATTGGTTTGCCTTGGCCTGAGCCACCGCTGCTGTGGATGCAAACATTAAGCTTTGATCACAGCTGCTGTAATCTTCCCCTGACACCCAGCAATGAAAGCAACAGAAACAGGCTAAAGCATGGCAGCTGTCTGAGGAGAAACTGCATTTGGAAAGGAAACCAAAGGGGGAAAGTGCTGCTGAAGGTGGAAACAAGAGGTGACAGCTCAGGTGGCAGGACAGGGACTTTATGAGAAACAGGACAGAGTAACTGGCTGGAACAGACCGTGATTTTTCCTCCTGTAGATAATGTGAGTGACAGCACAGGGGTGATGTACCCACTCACTGTCAGCAGAAGCCTTGTTTTGGTGGTTTCTTTACTGGCAAACAGGAGAAACAGTTCCTGCCCCAAGAATTTACCTGTCTCAAGAAAATGCATGGCAAGTGCTGGAATAAGAGGAAGGTTAATTAGAGGCTGAAAGTCCTGGTGAAAAGATCGCTTGGTGGCAGAGGCTGACAACGTGCAGAAGGTGACTGCTTGTCATTTCTTGGTAACTGCTGCTCCAAAGTTGCCTGAAATTGGAGGCTCACAACTGCTCTGGTTATTCTCACAGGATGGTGGTCTGCCAGCTGATTCTCCCTTGCCCATCCAGAGGCACAAATGCAGTTGTCCTTGTTACATCTGGGTTTTGCCCATGTTCTTCCAACAGCCCTTCTAGCCATTGGGCTGAGGACCTCTCTCTTGACCAGTCTTGCCAGGGGCCCACTGATGGCAACGCACTTCTGTCCTGACTAATCCCAAGAGACAAAGGGCCACCTGCACACAGCCCATATGTGTCCATCCTCAGCACCAAGAACATTTCCTTGCACAGAGACTGCCCACGTGGCTCACGATGTGGTGTGAGCAGGTACTGCAAAGCCCAGAGAAATCCTACAGTGACATGAGCCTTACCTCTGGCCCACGATACTCACCCTTGGTCATACTCCCCTTTCTAACTCCCGCGTTTTAAGAGTCCAGAAGATCAGGGTTAGCTGTGGCAATCAGTAGAACATGGAAATTAAGCTGCTTCCACCAGTGCTAGATCTGTTGCAGACTGCATCTTGAACATCTGGAAAAGAAACACTCCAGTTATTCTTGCTCAGGGATGAAAATGAGTGAGGGTGGGAGTAAATGGAAGAGGCAAGTCTTTCCCCAGAGTCAGCAGTTGTCAGCTTGCTCTCCCAGATGCTGTGGGCATGCACTGATTGGGTACACAACTGCACTGACACAACCCTTGCCTAGCCAACCTGCATCGATGTTGCTTACCTGTTGTTTTAAATCCAATCTGGAACCGGGCTCTGTGCCCTTTGGGGCTGGGCCACTTACTCTGGTAGTTTTGCATAAGAGCAGTGGCTAGGTGCTGGGTGCTCTCCCATGTATAATAAATGAAAGGAAGCATAAGATACCAGTGTAAGCAATGTGTACAGTTTTAGTATAACCTATTGCCAAGGTATTGTGTTTGCCTGTGCTGTGAAGCACAAAGCAGTTTCTCAGCTCTGGGAAGTAATCCCTGCACCCAGGATAATCACTGCTCCCTCCTGCCTGGACTCTACAGAGCTCCACAGGGCTGACCATGATCTGACCCTCTGCGTGGACTCAATAATAATAAAGCCACAAGAGAAAGAGCAAAAAAGGCTAACATATGGAGAGAGTGAACACAAAGAGATCAATATGGTTTCCTGTACATATTGTTCCAGATTCAGCATGTGTTAATTTGGAGCACTGCACTGGGTTAGCCCTACCATGTTAGCTCAGAGATAGTGTCTTGTCTTGGGAACAGCACAGCCACATCAATGTGGCAATGCAAGCAGAGGCATTAGAAATCTTTTTTTCAGACTTTGCTGTCAGGTTAATTACCCCGTCACATAATATGGGCTGTCTCCAGCTCCAGAGCCATCTGGAAAATCTTTTCATGGCACAAGCCAGTTCAAGTAGAAATGTCTAAGAATATAAGAATGGCCAAGGCTCCATCTAGCCAGCTGCTCTCTTTCCATCAATGGCCACAAACAGACATAACAGTGAAATAACAAGACAAGTGTATATTATAGTTCCCCTGAATACTTCTTCCAGCATTCAACAATTTTCAGCTCAAGGGATTTCTTCTGATGCTGGTCCAGCAGGGTCTCTACATGAGAAAATGGGAATGAGAACAGCGCATCTTCAGTGCCCACATTCCATAGGAGTTTCATTTCACCAACACCACAAACAAGGGATTTCATGGACCAGGCAACAATCTGTACCAATACGTTTTGCATTAAACTCACAGAGATTTTCCTTCCGAAGAGGATGGTTTCCATGGAGGATCTGTTGGGAACAGATTTTGTGAAGCAGAAGAGGGCAGGATAAACTTGGGAGGAGTGGAAAAGGACCAGACCACTACCAGAATCCATGTGAAATTCTCATGTAGACATTTCTGCATTGAAAAGAGAGAAGTGCACAAACAGGGAAGTTCAAACCAACCTGCTATGTTCCCCACATACACAGGATTTGGCTTATGGAATAATTGCTTCTAGCTGGACACTTCTAGTTGAGTACCGTTCTTCCCGAAGGATTTCCCACTTAAGTCTGGCCTTTAATTGGAAAGTTTCACTTCTGTAAACAAGAATGATCCTTGAGGGAGGGGTGTTTCTGGAAGGGGATGCACAGAGCTGAACGTAGGAATTCCAATCCTAATTTATCTCGGGCAGACAAAATTTGTGTCGATGGGAGCATTAAGCGTCCTGCAGCTTGATATAAACTGATGGACTCTTGCTTACTCTTGGCATTTACTCTTGCAAATGAATCACTGTTACTTCCGCCTCCCTGCCCACCCCTCCACTTGGTTCCTTTTTAATTTTACAGCTTCCTGAGCTTGACACTGGGAAATCGATAAGTAATTTAGAGCCCAGTAAATACAGACGAAAACAAGTTATTTTGTACTTTTATAAATATTTGGAAACCAAAATTATCTAAGAAAACAGGTGCTCAGTTGACTCAGCAACCCATCCATCAGTATCACACAGTTAATTGCATAAGATCATAAACATTTATAATTAGAAAGCAAACAAACAAGAATTTTATAAACAGCCCTCTTGAATCAGGCTGCACATTAAATATTTGTGATAAGGTAATTAAGAATAGATTTACAATCCTGGCTCAGTGTTTAATACTTCGGAGAATGGATTTGATTCTATGGAGAATGTTCTACAGCCAGGGAGAAAACATTCGATTTCGGCTCTTTTATGCAAGGCTTAAAGTCATCTCGGAGAAACATTGGCTCTGTCATTGATCAGAGTGCAATTTCATTCATTACAAATCAGACAGCTCATTTAAATCTATGTCTAATGTCCCTTGTCATGAGCTGATCCACTTCAGGCCTGCTTCAAAGCTCTGTCTCCTTGGCTGGATCTGCAGGCTTTCCCTAAGTCCTGCTTTTTATGGTTGATGTTTTGATCAGAAGATGTCAGAATTCTCAACTGTGTTTCAAAGTAAGGAGGAAAACCCACATTTTTCTATTATGACATCATGGTGTTTGGTTATGAAAAGCCAGCATCACTACAGGATTACAGCTGTGCGATCTCACTGGTCTATGGGAACCAGAGTCAAGATCTTTCCCGTACTGTAGCGCCCAATGCCATTCCCTGTCCCAGAATAGCCAGATTTGAAACTATCATCTAATGTGATTACTTCTACAGCCAGTAAGCAGGCTCAGCACCCCATTATGAATGTGAGAGTCTGCCTGAAGCTATTCTGTGATCAAGTCAGCAGGGTTCTAGTTATGCTTAAAACCAGAGAGGCTAGAAACTCAATCTGTACTGAAGCTAGAGTTTGAACTCTGTAAAATCAGATGCAGACCCTAAGAAACTAGGTGGCTGCATCTCATCAGTGAGTAAGGCGGAGGTCAGCCCTAAGGGTAGGATATTCAGATATTTGGGGTTTTGATATACAGAGGTTTACTCCGATAATTACCTGTCATCAGAAAGTAGAACAGTCTGGAAAAGCTGGGTGGAGGGTAAAGCCCTAGCATTTGATTCATCAGGGACAGCAGTAAACCACTTTATTCTGTGGTGACCATCATCTCCCCACACAATGCTGGTCAAGGTAACCTCCTAATTTCAGTATGATTTTGCTTCTTATTTCTTGTGCTGCCCACTCTCTTTCAAATGCAGAGACCATTAGAAGTCAGTTGTCCTACAGCCCTGTGCCGTCCCCCGGACATCAGCGCTGGTAGATGCAGATGGGTAGCCGGACATAGGCATTACGCACATACTCCGCGCACATGCGGCGTAACCTCATCTGCCCTTTCTTTCAAGCGTGTTGTTTTTCCCCTTGGAAGGGAGCAGTGACGTCCGATGAGGTACCTGCTCTGCAGATGAGCAAAACTTTGCCTAGGATGACAAACCATTTATAGGTATAGACAGACCCTTTTTTTTGCTTGATTGCCGCCTCTGGCCTCCATGTGCGTGTCTGCCCTGCTGCTGTCTGTGTGGGGAGAGACTCGGGCTCTGCACGCACATGACGCTGGTACAGCAGACGTCACCGGCACGTCAGATCCAGCTACACCCCCTCCAAACACACGCCGTTAGCTGGGTGAATCATGCCTATGCAGCATGCAAAACCAGTCCAGTGATAGATAAACCTCAGGCGTTTATTGGTAAACAGATACTGTTTTGCTGTAAGAGCATAACTCACTTTGCTGCGTTTACGATCCATTTATTGATTGCTGAGATAAAGCTGTAATCCTTTTAATTCAGGGGAAAAGGGATCCAGCTGAGAAAGAGCACCGGTGTTCTGCCAGTCGGTAATTAAAAAACATGATTTATCGTTGAATAAACACTGGCTGAGGGAGAGCTGAGCTAACCAGCTAGCTGGGGGCAGGATGCTGGGGTAGGTTTATGGTTCTTTCTAAAGTTTTGTTTCTGTTTTATGTTTATTTCTTTCCCCCTTCCCTCCAGGTCTAATAATACACGAAGGGCCCTCGGTTTACCGGATTTTTAAACGGTGGCAGGCGGTCAATCAGCAGTGGAAAGTGCTGAACTATGACAAAACAAAGGACATGGAGGAACAAAAAACAGGGACCAGGACAAATCAGCGCCCCTCCTCCCAAACCACCCACTCGTCCTCCACTGGTGGTACAGCCACTAACTCCGCTCCAGCCGACAGCGGGGCACGGGCTGCCGGCCATGCCACAGGCACCCTCTCTGACCACCACTGTGCTTATACCATCCTGCATATACTCAGCCACCTGAGGCCTCACGAACAGAGGAGTCAGTCTAGTAGTAACAGAGAGCTCGTCATGAGGGTCACGACGGTCTGAGCCGAGGAATTCAGGAGGCCTTAACATGGAGCGGAGGAGACAAAGAACTCATAAAGCAGAGGAGCATGGTGTGCCTTTTTCTTTCTCTTCCCTTTTCCTTTTTTTTTTTTTTTGTTTTTTTTTGTTTCCTCCTCTCCTTTTCTTTTTCGGTAACTGCACAAGATATAAGAGGCGGCACCTGGCCAGCTGAGGAAAAAGCAGGTGGAGGGAGAGCTGCACACACATGCTAAAGAGGTTAATGTTTTCCAGCCAGTTTAAAAAAAAAAAAGAAAAAAAAAAGAAAAAAAAAACAACAACACAAATCACAAAAAAAACCAACAAAACAAGTGCAATACAGACTACAAACTGAGTAGGCAGAGTTCTGGGGAAGCAGAGGAACAGACGGTTTAGCATGTCTTACAAATCCTATTACCTGGAATAGGTAACGCTCTGTACACACCCCCCGTACACACACGCACGCGCACACAAACACACACACACAGTGTGAGATTTATAAAAACAAGGAAGGGAATGAAATATTTGGAGTATTTTTATTTTCCAGACTGTGATTAACCAGGGCTATGAGTTGTTTTGTTTCATGAGTCACTCTGGAGCCTTGTTTGATTTACCATAGGATACCTGAAGTGAAATGGCTGGGTATTTTTCAGTATTGATTTACAGAAAGAGAGATTGAATCATCCCACCAAGAAAATCTAACAAAACCCAGGCATACCCAAATTTCACCAAAACAAAAAGCCTGTCGGGGAGGGCACTCCATGACCTTTATTTGGCGTATAGGCATTTTTGACAAATTTTGTAAAAACGCTCCGCAGGTGTTTCAAGCACAAATACTGGTGTGATTTATGCCTTCATAACCCCAAATCCAGCATCCAAATCTTGCCACTCACACACATCATTTCCCATGCAGACATTCCAGGTTAATTGCCTTCCATTTTACTCCAGTCATAAGAAGCCAACCCATCTTAGTGGGTTTCTGCTACCTTGCTGATTCAGACACTCATGCATTAGAGTGGTACATCTCTTTTTTTGGTGTCTGTATCCCTGCTGCTCGATTTGCAACAGTCTCACTCAGTCTTGTAGGCTGAGCCTTTCACCATCCAGTCTGTTAGTTTATTACAGAGTCTATTCCATTCGATCATTCCAGGGAGAGTTAGTGTGAAAAGGGAGCTCAGTTGCTGATCAAATATGTAACACTTCTAATAACTCTCCTTCTCTGGGATATATCCTCGAAGGTACCGGTTGCTCTTCAGGAACATTCTCTTTCAATGCACAATGGTTGAATCATTTGTGGATATTAAAGGGACACTGTCAAGTACTTTTTAAATAGTTTTTAGGGTTTGGGCTTTTTTTACTCTCCGTTGTTTGTAATATTCTCTTACAAGCTTGAAAATAAAATTCCTTCCCCTACCGATTTTGTCCTTTTCCATTTGGGCACGTACCGTTCTCTCCACTCACCCCATTCCTTTCACCATCCCTGTCCTTCTCCTCCCCACCTTTCTTCTGCGACAGGAGAAAATCCATGTTACTGATTTCCTCCTGACTGTCCTCGCTCCATGGAGGGTATGTCCCAGCTCTACGGGGTTGAGCTGTTTTGCTAGTGCAACTGCCACAAAGGAAGCGTAAGAGCAGGAACCCTAAAAATACGGAGACTAGCTGATTGAGGAGCAACAGCTCAGCAATCCCAAAACAATGAGCCCATAGTGATCAAGCCTGAACCCAGCTCCCCGCCAAAATTAACAGAAGGACTTCAGCCAAACTGCATCCATTTAGCAGCAGTGCTGAGCAACGTTGCAGAATGGCTGTGTCCAACTGCCCTCTGTCACCGTACCAGCACCTCTCGCAGCTTCTATCAGAGCCAGGGCAAACGTGAGCCACCAGCTCCTTTGGCAGGGAGGCCATCATGGGTCAGGTGTTGCTGAACTGGGGAAGGTGTCATTCTTTAGCCTCCAGGTTTGAACACACCATCCATTCTGCAACGTTGAAGACGGAGGCTAACATCTTAAGGCAGGTTGTATTTTTCACCTCAATTACTTGACAGTGTCCCTTTGAATATCAGAATGCAACAGAACAGGTACTTCTCTGGCAGAGAATGTGGGAGGTGAAACACCAGTCAAGAAAGCTGACTTACTGAGGACCCATGTGAAACAGCATGGTTTCTGAGGCCACTGTACCTTTATCTGACCAATCTTACTATCTACCAAAGAGTGCTTTTGGCAGAGGGGAGGGAAGGGATGTTTGTGGGCGGAGGGAGAGGGAAGGGGCAATCCCGATCATCTCTAAAAGCAGCTACCCCCAGAATGAAGGTGTCGCAACAACGGTCTCTGGAAGAACCGCTTCTGATCCACAGTAGAGAGAAAACTGGCCAAAGCAAGCAAACACAGCAGCCTCTCGCCCCCATGCCTATCCTGGAAGCTGTCCTCATTCCAAGAGATGAGTAATTATGGTGGTTTTAGGAAGGGGGAAGCATACACAGACAAAGGGACAGCTGTCAGACCTGATATTGTTTCCCTCCCTGCCCTCTGCTCATTTAAAATGAAGAAGTCAAATTCCTTTAATTTGGCTAATGGCTAAAAGTTTATGAGGTCAGAAGCACAACTTGCCGTGAAAGAGTGGTGTGATCTAGTAATCCGAGCACACAGGACTCTGCATACTCTCACTCCAGCTCTGCCACCGACTCTGTAGCCTTGGGCTGTTTGGCTCAGTCCCCCCTCCACGCAAAGGGGGAATAACAATACGTACCTACCTCACAGGGGTGTTGTGAGAATCCACGTTGGTAAAGCCTGTTGAAGTGCTAAGTCTACCACCAGTAGTCACGAAGCGTGTGGTGGGGGTGAGCAGCGCTGACCTTTTGCTGGTTACAGTCCGAATCACTCAGCGGGAGTCCCATCGGCCCTCTCCTGCTTGGAGATCCTCCTTGATCCGAAGCGGAGGGTGTCGTCCGAGTGCCCTCTCCTCCATTGCATGACATTTTAAGCGGCTGTGAGGTGCAGGGTAGTGACAGACATGAAGTCCTACTTGACCAGGGATTTGCTACAACGTTTTCTATATCTGTGGGGTTTGTTGGTTTGGTTTTTCCATATATTGTGCTTAGAAATAAACTTTCCACTTAGGGCTGGCGGTTCGGGGTCTCTTCTGTTGCATGGCAATGTATACAAGTCTTATTGTCTGTCTTACTGTGCAAATGATCCCGCAGCCCAATTTCAGAGATGGGTATGGTTTGAGCCTTTTCATAGTGGCGTAAGACTCAAAAGCCTGTCTAGACTGTTTAATATTTAAACAACACTATGAACTTGTCAATTGTATGTGTTCTGTGCAATACAAAGCATGTCATTAGCTGGCTTGATGGGCAGAGGGGCTAAAGGAAGGTCAAAACTTGTTCAAAGAGCTTCATACATGTGCCAGCATGGAGCCAAAGGGCTGCCACCAGCAAAGCAAACTCGGGAAAGCCATTGGAAACTGTTTTCAGAACAGTTTACTCCAGAACAAGGTACTTCTGAGTTTATGAACTTCTAGGCTGCCAGCCTGAGAGAACAAGTGCAAATTTAGTGTGGGGCTTGGGGTTTTGGATTCTCTTTTTTCTTTCCTCCCCAAAGTATTGATGGCAGAAATACTGATGAGGGCCTCTTCCTTCCATAGCACGGTTCTCTCAACTCCCACGACCTCCTTGTGCCATCCCCCTTGTGCTACTATGCAGGACTTTAAAAGGTGCAAATGGAGACAGTACGCTCCCGAGACATGCGAAATACGTTGCATATTGGGGGATTCTAGCAGACAGAAGAGATGGGGCAGAGCTATGCTGCAGAAGGCATCTCTTCTTCCCCACATCTTTCCTCTAGTCTTGTCTGCTCGGTTCTCTGTATTTTGTTACAAAGCAGTCAGATCAGCTTCCACCGACAAAGAAAGCTTGCAGAGTTTGGCAGCTGTTTCTCCCAGTGGAGAAAATCCCAGGTCCTATCACTGTGGAGACCCCTCAGTTCTTGGGCTTTGTGGTCCTCCAACACCGTTTGGGGGTGGTCAATGTGGAGGACTGTGTTCAGCCATCATCAGAAATCGTGTGTGTGTGGTCCTGCTCATTCTTGTGATTTCTGCTAGTCCCCTGATTTTCCGTCAGTTTTGACAGGTCTTTCTGGTTATGCTCTTCTGGTTATGCTCTTCAGAGGTGTTTTGCTCTGTGTCAGTTGCCAATGCTATTCTTGCCTACTGAAACATCAGTGCTGGCTTCCAGCTTCCACAGCTCTTCCATTCTTGCCATCCAGTCTCTTGGTAAATACCCACTGCCAAGTTCAGATCCTCTTCCTCTGTGCCTGCAACGACTCAAGCATATGTACTAACCCAAGGGCCATCAGAGAACACAGGGACTATTAAGAGTCTGTACCAATAGTCAGACTCCATAACCATCAGTTGTCTTTGATATTTATTCACTTTGCCAATCTCAGTGCCTGCTGTTAATTGACTGCCACAAAACCCCCATAATGCTAGCAAAACCCATACACCCCACTAACACTTGGTTTCCAACTTCAAATGTCAGAAGTGATGGACTGTTTTTCAAGTAAATCAGGCATGTTCCCTGTTGTGGTTTCCCATGCAAGGTGCTGAAGAGGTCCATGTCTTTTACCTTACCATGATGGGCGACTTAAGGAAAGAGCAAATGAGCAGCATAGATTTGAGTCAAGAGAGGTGTCAGCTGTTCACCATGTTTTTACTCGGTGAGACAGGAAAATACCATGCATGTCTGCCGGGTCCCTGACCCTTTTCAAAGCCCTTGTATCTGGCAGCGGTAAAACATCAGAGCCAACGCCTGTAGATATAGGACAATTCTGAAGACTTTCCAGTCCTGAAGAACGTCCCCTGCCCACGTGTGGTGGTCAGTCATTCAAGCATCTTCTCTTTGTTTTCCTCAAGAGAAAAAAAGATTATTTTGACTAAGCAAAGTACTGCTAACTCTTCAATGTAGGAGGAGGCTGCACCATTAGCACTTCCAACCTGTGGTTCATCCACCAGGACTCCTGCACATCTCCTTGTGAGAACACATGGCCAGAAGACCCATTCCTTCCTCTTACTATTGTATGTTGGTCCAGCACTTGGAGGGAAATAGCCAGCAGTGCAATTGCCTTAGTGACTACTGGCTGAATATCCTAACCTTCCCTCCACTATTCACCTCACCTGTGACTGCTTCTTCTCATTCCTGAGCCAACAGATGCCTCATCCCCTCTGCCATCCCTAGACTCCAGCCTTGAAGATCTCTGGAGCAGACA